CACGTGGGTGGGGAGAGGAGAGACAATTATTAGACACTTTTCACTTGGGATTGGCAAACAGCCTTGCTTGGCAGAAATTGCTGGAAAATGAAATGTGGGGGCCTGTTCCAAAGATGGGGAGGGGTGGCTGAGAGGATAAAGAAAGGAATATGGTGGTGGCTTCTAGGAGCCACATCCTCTGTGGGATGGGAACCTGTCCCTCCAACCCCTCCCCTCTCCCCCCAGGGTAAGCCTGAAGGAAGGTAAGCAAGAGGCTGGGGCAGGGAAGCTGGGGGAGGTTTGGGGCACTGGGGAGATGGGGCCTCAGAAGAGGGCCCCCAGTGCCTCCAAAGGGATTTATTCTGTGCAGCCCTGGAGAGTGGGAAACTAGCTCCAAGGAAGAGAGAAAGGCAAGGACATGACCTTGAAGCCCAGAAGCCTGGGCTGTTAGGCCTGACCTGTCCCATCACTAGCAGTGTGACCGTGGGCATTGCTTCCCCGCAGTGTTCTCAGCTGTAAAATGAGGCTATCACTCTTTCCTTTGCAGGGTAGATGCTGGGATCATGCATTACCAACACCTTTCTGTATACACAGGGTGAGCAAATGTAGGTTTATAGTTGTTCATATGCAAAACAATACAATAATTCTATATAATGAAGAGCTAATATGCTAATTAGACCAAACAGCATAGCGACTGTCCAGACGACCTTCCGGATGAAGCCAGGGCTGCGAGGGCTGAGCCCTTTGCATGAATTTCGTGCATCAGGCCTCTAGTTAATAAATAATAATATTAGAGTAAACTGTGTTTCACGTACTCACAACTGAAACCCTACTTTTGCCCCAGCCTGTATTTAGAGGAGGGATCAACATAGGATCACCCATGTTTAATTTCAATTTTTTAAACATATTTTTATTTTTTCAGTGAGGAAGGGAGAGAGAGAGAGAGAAACATCAATGATGAGAGAGAATCATTGATTGGCTGCCTCCTGCACATCCCACCCTGGGGATCCAGCCCACAACCCGGGCATGTGCCCTCACCGTAAATCGAACCGTGACCTCCTGGTTCATAGGTTGATGCTCAACCACTGAGCCATGCCGGCCAGGCCCAATGTTTAATTTTCAGTTTTACCAAATTAGGAAAGAGAAACAGGGAACGTCTCCTGGCACCGCAATTTTAGAATGTCTTCCCTTCAATACCCCCAAAGCTGGAAGGATGTGTGCAGAGGAAAGGGAACCCTCTTCATGGCATCCAGGGGGCTGGATGAAACTCCCCCTGGTGCCCAGAATTAGTTACACTGCCCTGGGCCGGGGGGCGGAGGGGGGGAGCTGGTTCTGTCCCCAGTAGTGGTGGTCTGAGGGGAAGGATTTGGGAGGTCAAGATGCAGGAGGAAGTGCAGCTCAGCAGTGATCGCACAGCGGAACCTTCTAACAGGGAGCTGACCAGGCTGGGCCGAATCAGGAGGTAGTGAGTTCCCAGACATTGCAGGTATCCAAGTGCAGGTTGGAGGAGAGGATTTTTAAAAAAATGCCATCAGAAGGGGCTGGGACAGAGCTAGGCAGCTTCTTTAGGACTGCCAGACCACTGCTCAGAATGGCAGGCCGTGCCAAGGGCATCTGAGAATACAGACTACTCCCTGCCCATCACCCGTGGAGGAAGAGCCTGGTTGTCAACACCCCCACCCACATGCATGTGGCTGCTCCCCAGAGACTTGTCTCACCCCCACTGGCCTTGCGTGTGTGGAACCCCTGCCCTGGGGCATGAACATGGAAGCCCAGGGCTTGCTCCTGCCAATAGTAATTGGGCCCAAACCACCTTCCCTGCAGGGGCATGCCCAGAACTGGCCTTCGGAAGCAGGAAGACTCCTGAGGGCTGGAGGCAGTGCTTTTAACAGGCCTGGCAGGCAATGCTCGGTGGGAGGAACAGAGGCAGGTCAGGATCCTGGGCGCCAGAGGACCTGGGTGCTGGGCTCACTTTCACCCCAGAGCTGGAACCTGTCCTGGGGCTGGTGCTAAACACAACCCTGGTGTTTAATGAAGCAACCACCATTTATAATGACTCACAGTGTACCGGGATTTGCGATAAATACCCAACCAGTGTTATTTCTTTTAATCCCTGCAACACCCTTTGAGGTAAGAACTCATTTATATTTTACAGATGAGGAATCTGAGACACGAAGAAGGGAAGTAAACAGCTTGTGTAAGGTTTGCCCGGCCCCAGTGACGAGGCTAGATTGGCTCCTTACTCAAGGCTATCAGCCTCGGTTTTCTCATCTGTAAAATGGGGCTAAAACGGTCATCTCCTGGGGGTCAATTGGGAGCATTAAAGGTTCTACTATCAAATGCTCAGAACAGTGTCTGGATAGAGTACGTGCTCCAGGAGTAGAAATTCTCATGGATCCTTTCTCTAATCCTAACCACACCCCTTGACCCTCATTGATTGTTTAAATCCCTGGAAGCCTCAGTCTTCCAGCCTGTCTAATGGGGCTGCTGCTCCTTGACCTTCATTTTCAGAGCATACTGAAAACTCTCTTTGGGAAACTGAAGCCAGATGTAGGGATTTCTAGATCCCCGAGGGTCAGTGGTGTACTGGAAGTGGCCTGTACCAGCTCAGGGGAGCCGGTTGTTAAATTTTCAGGATTTCGTCCAGCTGGTTGCTAAACTCAGGCATTATTAAAAATTGAAGTATATAAAGTTACAATGAAATAACTTACATTAAAAACAGGAGTGATAAATACTCAAAATTCACCACATCCCAGTGATTTCACTATTTTTTACTATTATCCATACTCTTGAGGTTATTTACATCTGTTGTGTTGGTCCGGTGTCAATACTATACAGTGGTTTGCTACTGTGTATCTCTTTCTAATGCCACATTCAGTGACAACACGTTGGTAGCCTGAAACTGGGAGTGGGAGAATTTACACCGTGGAAATTGGTACCTGCTTCATAGCAGGGCTCTCCCCCACCCCACCAGGAAGCCGGCTCTTAAACATTTACTAGCACCCTACTGCTTAAACACAACGGGCTGAAATCGATGTCTCTCCAACCCTACCTTCCAGCCTGGGCCTCCCCAGAGTAATACTCCCCTGAACAGGGACAGGGGTTCACATAGAAATCCTACAAAACATGTAAGGGGCGCAGGTTAGGACCCAAGGAGAGACACCATGGAGTAGCAAGGTGCAGGGACCCCACATTCATCGCGCTCCTATTTATAAGGCATGGAGTTGTAGAAAAAAATATTATTAGCTTATTTACATTCTCTGGAAAATCCCACAAAACAGGTGTCCATCACTTTCCAAACTCAGGAGCCAAAAAGAGGTGGAGAGTGAGGGACACTTATATTTTTCCCTTTTGTATGGCAGAGAAAACAGAGACGTTCAGTAGGTCGCGAAGGCTGCATGTCATCTCCCCCAGGGCATGGCCTCCTGCTCCTCTGAGTCTACAGAAAGTTCCTTCTTCACGAGGTCTGGTTCCCAAGCCCCCCTCCTGGCACCCGGCCCCTGGTCCTTACCCAAGGCTTCAGGCTCTTCTTTCTTTCTCTGCGAGGTAGGGCTCTGGGTGGGCTCTGCCCACGGGCCACCGGACCCTGTGGGGAGCAGCTGGAAGGTGGGGTCCAGTTCCAGGATCATCTGGTTGAGGCTCTCCAGTGAGAAGCCAATGTAGGAGTCCTCCAGGGCCCCTGAGGGCTGCTCACCAGGGGACCGCAGGAGGCAGCTGGCTTTGGCTCCAGCCTGGGGGGCCTGCTGGAGCCTGTTGGGGGGCTCCTTGCAGGGCGTGGAGGCCATCAGGGCCTGGGCTCCCCAGCCTTCTGTGGTGTAGTAAGGATACGGTGGCGGCAGGTTGGGGCTGGGTGCTGGGTGCAGGACCCTCCTGGGTTCCTCGCAGGGAGGCAAGCAGACGGCGTGGCCTCCTGCCAGCAGGGGACTGGGCATCACCTGCGACATGGCGGGGGCAGTCACCCGGCGGTGCAGCTCTGGCTTCTCACCAGCCTCACTTAAGTCCCAGAGGTGTCACTTGCCAACCAGGAGCTCCCAGGACCTGAAAGAGGCCAGGGTGGCAGCTGAGTGTCTTTTGTAGATGAAGCCCCTGCCTCCCCGCTCCAAAAGGAAGGCATATCCATTCATTCATTTCATGGATGCTGGAGCCAGACTGCCTGGGTTTGCATCCTGGCTCCACCCCTTACTAGCCGTATACCACTGGGCAGGTTAATTCACTTCTCTGTGCCTCAGTTTCCTTATCTGTAAAATGAGTTAATATTTGTAACATGCGTAGAATAGTGCCTGGCACATAGTAAGCATTACGCAAGCTATTGTTAAATATAATAACGTCAGTAACAGTTTATTAAATATTCTCTATGTCCCAGCCTTATTTGTTAAATAAATACTAGCTAATGTTTACTGAGCAATTTCTGTGTGCATAGGCACTGGTGTTTACACACAAAGTCTTTTAAAGCCCTCATAACAACCCTCTGAGGTCACACTCTAATCACACCATATTACAATGTGAGGATGGAACACAGAGAGGGGAGGAACTTGCCCAGGGATGCGGGGCCGACCAGTGTCAGAGCAGGGCCGGACCCCAGGCTGCCTGATGTCTGAGCCCCTGCCTTTAGCTGCTGCTTCCCAGGGGCCAGTGTGTGAAACCAAGTGAGCAGGTGAGCAGTCATAAGCAGTGTCACCAGGGAGGAGGGGAAGCAGAGGGGACTCGGTAGGCACTGGTGGGGAGGTCAGGGAGGACTTCCTGGAGGAAGAGACATGTAAAGAGAGACAAGAAGAAAAAGCAGGAGCTAGCTGGCCAGGTAGGTGGGGATGAGGCAGGTGTTTTCAGAAGCCTGACAGACAGGGGGGATCAGGAGGCATTATTGAGCACCCGGGAAACAGGGAACTCCTAGGGTAGATGGAGGAAAAGATGGGGTGGGGGTGAGAGGGGGCAGGCTGGCCAGACCCCGAAGAGCCTTGCATGCTAGGCTCAGTAGTGCTGTCTCAACCCTGAGGGCAAGGGCGAGCTACAGAACCGTTTTGAGCTGGGGAGTGACATCATCAGATGATATTCACTTCCTGGGGGCCCATCCAGGAAAGAGATGTTTCAATTTCCTCAGTTCCCTTACTGTGGAAAGTTCTTCCTGTTGTCTCACCTCAATACCACACGTTAGGACTTTCCTGCAGGTGGGGCTGGGTAGGAGGCAAGAGGTTCTAGGACTGAGGCTGCCAAGAAAACTGTAAGCAGCGGGGACACGCTAGTCACACTACCACTGCATGCCCCGAGCCTCACCACTTGCCCCCCAATACTCCTCAACTCTGCTCCTCCCTTTTTCCAAGACGCTGTCAATCACATCCTGCTTTAGAGTCGGACCCCCAGTGCTGGAAAAGGAACTGAGACCAGCCTGGGCCAAATGAAATGAGAACCTGAAGATTCAGATATCGATTCCCAGCTCATACAGTTCCTTAAGGTGTAATCTGACCTTAGTTTCTTCATCTGTGAGATGGGCAGAAGAATTCCTGCCCTGCACCCACCCCCCGGCCCCCACCAGAGAGCGACACGGAACCAATGAGGTGCTGCTTGAAAAAGCAGTTGGGTAACTCCAAATACTACTTAGAAATAAGGGCTTGTCTAGAGTATAACAACTTCATAAGAAAAAAATAATAACAGCTCCCACTTATCGAGCATTCACCACGTGCCAGGAGCTCATCTATGTGTGTTACATCTGCTAACTCTCATCTCACACTCCGAGGAAGTTCTGCACCCCTAGTACCAGCCCATTTTACAGATGAAGACACCGAGGCTCAGAGAGGTTAAGAAAAGCGATAGAGCTGGGATTCAAACCCAGGCCGCGGGACTTTGGACTCTTAACTCCTTGTACCACATTGAGTTCAAGTGCAGAGGGACCCCTGAGGTCCAGAGAGGGGATGCGATTTGCCCAAGTCACACAGTAAGTGAATGAGAAAAGCCAGGCCCCCGCCAGACCTCTCCTTGGCCGGGTCCTGGAGCGGGTGGCACACCCCAGGCTCCTGCAGCGTGTCTATAAATGGCAGTGGACGGGAACCGGCCTCTGAGCTCCTTCCTGGGGGCAGCCGAGGACACGGAGCTGTGGCTTTTCCCTCACGTGCTCCCAGAGGCCTGGCTTTGCTGGGGCAGGATCTCCGAGTACCCTGCAGGGTTTTGTCTGGGCCCCGCAGAGGAGGCTGGGTGTTGACTTTATGGAGTACATTGGGGGCCTGGGTCTCCCCCCAGGGTGAGAACCCAGGATGCCTGCCTACTAATTTGGAAACTGCTTTTGTGCTGCCCTGGACTTCACTTGTCCCATCTGTATAATGGGGACAATATAATGACAGATACGTACTTAACACGTACTCGTTTCATTTTCTCAATGGTCTGAGGCGGGTACTCTTCCTGTGGGGCTGGAGGATTTGCCCGAGGTTACACAGCCCACAGGACCCGGTGGTGGGTTTGGGACCGGAACCTGGATGGTCGAGGCTCCCACGCCCGATGCCTCCGCTTCGTAGATTTAGGGCCCCTTTCACCTCTTTCCATCCTGGGATTCTGGAACCCGAGGGACAAGCCTGGGAGGCTCTTTTTCACACTCTTCTCACTTTGAACAGTCCCCGAATCACCCTGGACCTCCCCAGGCAGGGTCTGGGCTCCGTGTTTTATTCCTGGACATCCTGCCCACCACTAGCTTTCTTTCCTGCTCTGAGGGGCAGGGGAGGGTGCCTGGGCCTCAGGGCTGTGTGTGTGTGTGTGTGTGTGTAGGGGTGGGTGGGGGTATATGGTGGGCACGGAGGGCTCTAGCCAGCTCAGTCCTATTTATAGGTCCCTCCCACCCACTCCCCCTTCAGATTTTGACTCAGATCTTTCTTTGTTCCCAAGGGCTCAGGAGGCGGGGGATCCTGCTACCTTGGCACATCTCCTCTGCTTCATAGCCAACCTCCCACAAGCCCAGGTCAGCGAAGGGAGCGGGTAGAAGAGAGGGACGCCCGAGGCTCCCCAAAAGCCCCTTGCCTCAATAGTCCAACCCCTACTCAACCCCATCCTGGTACAGTGGCTTTTGGTTGTCCCATCCCCTCCACCCAGACCCAGGGACCGCAGGACCAGCGAAGGCCATGGTCCCCCACCTCTGGGTGCCCAGCAGCCTGAGGGGCCCAGCACCGGGGCTCAGGACCGGGCTGGGAGGCAGGAGGCCTGGTTCTGTGCCCGTCCCTTCCCGAGTCTCCGTGACCTTGGGCAAACCTCTTCCCCTCGCTGCACCTTGGTTCTCTCATCTGCACTCAGAAGGGTACAGATTTGCTCCCTCAAAGCGTTAAACGCCGGGGTCTGTGGTCCGGAGACCATGTCTCTCAGCCACAGCCTCTTCCCCAGTTCTCCCCACCTGCGCTCTGAGCCCGGGCCCCAGAAGTGGAGAAGCAGAGGACACAGGGTTAAACGAGTCCCGCTGGGAAGGTGCTTGCATAAAGCTCCTTGCAGAATAAAGGCACCTACCTGGGGTCCAGGGCAGGCAGCGGCTGCGTTCACTTCCGGCTCCTGGGATCAAGACAGCTCCGAGGCCAGGTGAGGAGTGAGGGAGGCGCAGTTCACCTCAGACTTAAGAGCACCCACTATCCTGCCCTCCCTCCTCCCCTCAGGGCCCTACTTGTGGCTGACAGCCGCCAGGCCCCACCCCTCCCTTGTCTGTGGGCTCAGGACGCAGGTAGGGTTGGCTCCAGCACAAGGAAGGGAGGCCTCCGGTGGGGGCCTGGCCTGGCCTGGCCTGAGCGGGGCTGGGGCTGGGCTTGTGTGAGGGGCTCCCAAACTCCCTGCTTCCCCGGCCCTCGGCCCCCGCCTTGGCCCCACAGGCATCACCTGATCAGGGGAGACCTGCTTGGCTGGGCAGGGACTTGTTAAGACCAAGGTGCGCTGGATCTGGGCATTCCTCTGACCATGTGCCAACAAGGGGCGGGGCCGTGGGTTGGCAGAGCTTGCAGGGAGTGAAGTCCTTGACCTTAGGAAGGCGGGATGGCCGTGGGCAGGCGACCCTTCCCACAGCCGCCTCCCGGGCCCGTCTGGCCTGGGCCATCTGGGGCAGCACAGGGGCTCCTTGGAATGGAGGCCGAGCACAGGTTTTGTCTTTCCTTCTTTTTCTTTTTAATCTGGGAACGGAGCTTTGAACTCAGGCTGGAGGACCTTCTCCAGGGGACTCACTACCCAATCACCGCTGCTTCTGTCAATCACAGAGCATATAGCCTTTGCTTTCACACCATTTCCTAATGTGCTTCCATCATGAACTCTGTAATTCTCACGTCAACGTATGGCCTTAAAAAATCTGTTGAAACGGTGCCATCCCATAGGGCCCATGCGGCTCTTCTGAAGTGAGATGCTGTTATAGGTGTAAGATGCACATCAGATTTCAAAAACTTAGTATGAAAAAAGAGAACGTAAGCGACCTCATTCATCATTTTTATATTAATTACACGTTGAAATGATAATATTATGTTGATATTGGGTTCGATAAAAAATAACCAGGATAGAATGTGGTCCTTGCCTCTCCCACCTCCTGTGGCTGCCCCAGAATCCCTGGGCTTGTGGCCCCATCGCTCTAGCCTCTGCCTCCTCTTTGCCTTGGCCTTCTCCTCTCTTACCTCATCTTGCTTCTCCCTTGTCAGGGCGCTTGTGATGGCATCCAGGACCCACCTGGGTAATCCAGGGTAATCTCATCTTGAAATCCTTAACTACAGCTGCAAATCAGGTAAGCGTGATAGGGGCTTACTAGAAAATGTAGAATTACGTATGTGATTTGCATTATGTTTCTTTGGACAACTTTGGGCTGCAGTAACCCCTGCCTGAGGGAGTCAGAGAAAGTTTCTCAGGTTCTTGAAGGACATTCGAAGTGGAGGGGGCTGGTGACCAGCCTGGGGGAGATCAGAGAGGCGAGAAAGAGCCTGGGGTGTTCCAGGGACCCTGTGCAAGGTCTCTGTGGTTGGAATTCAGGGTGAGTGAGGGAAGACTGTTGGACGAAGAATTTGGAAAGACAATGTGTGTCTAGCTTCGCCTCTACCCTGTCTTCCCCTGGTGAGCCTTCCTGGCCGCTGGAATTCTGGCTGGGCAGCATGGCCTGGGGAGGTGGCTTGTTGCTGCCGCCGGTCTGCACGCTGGGCAGCATGGCCTGGGGAGGTGGCTTGTTGCTGCCAGTCTGCACTGTTATGGAGACTCTGGGTTTTTGGGGCAGCTGCCTCCCAGCACCCAGCACACAGGTGTGGGTTGTCGCTGAAACGACTTCCTGGCCCTTCTATTAGTTAAGTGATGGTTCTTGAAGGCAACAGAGTCTGGGTGGCTCCTGATTCCTTATCTTCTTGATGATGCCAGAGGGGGCAGTTCCAAGGTGGGTCCCGTGTGTCTCTGGGAGACATTCCTGCAGGTGCAGCCAGCTGGTCTAACCCTCCCAGTGATTTAGTAAGCATCGAATTACCTGCATGAAATTCCTTTCCGCTGAAATTAGCTCGTGTGGTTTCTGCTTCCTGCCGGTGACTGATGCAGGTGGGCTGGGCGGGGGGAGAAGGACCTGTGGGTTGCCCTAGGCAACCTGGCTTTTCTGTTGTGAGCAATGGAGATACAGAGGAAGCTTAAGCATTTTTTAAAAAAATTATTTTCATTCATTTATTTAAAAATTGTTTTAAAACTTTCCATTACAGTTGACATGCAATAAATATTAGTTTCAGGTGTACAGCATAGTGATTAGACATGTAAATAACTTACGGAGTGACCACCCCGATAAGTCTAGCACCCATCTGACACCATCCATACACAGTTATTACACTATTATTATTTTTTTTTTAATATATTTTATTGATTTTTTACAGAGAGGAAGGGAGAGGGATAGAGAGTTAGAAACATCGATGAAAGAGAAACATCTATCAGCTGCCTCCTACACACCTCCTACTGGGGATGTGCCTGCAACCAAGGTACCGGAATCGAACCCGGGACCTTTCAGTCCGCAGGCTGACGCTCTATCCACTGAGCCAAACCAATTAGGGCTATTACACTATTATTGACTATATTCCCTATGCGGTACTTTACATCCCCATGACTATTTTATAACTGGCAATTTGCACATCTTAATCCTCCCCTCTTTCTCACCCATCCCCCCCAAGCCCCTCCCATCTGGCAACCATCAAAATGTTCTCTGTATCTATGAGTTTGTTTCTGTTTCGTTTGTTTATTTTTTTTTTAGATTCTGCATATAAGTGAAATCATATGTTATTTGCCTTTCTCTATCTGGCTTATTTCACTTAGCATATACCCTCCAGAGGAAGTTTCCAAGCAGAGAGAGCTGGGAGGGAAGGGCATGAACGTATTTGTGCCATAGAACAATTCTTTTGCTCCAGGCAGGTGATGAGCCCCCTATGAGGGTGGCAGAGGTGCAGGCCTGCTTTTTTCTGCGACTCTCTCTTCTTTGGGGTAGGGACAAATGCAAAGATTGGGGAAGGGACGTTCTTTGCTACGATGGGGCAGAGAGCTGACATGGGTGGGTAGGCTCCTGAACATCCTTGGCTCTCTCTGTAGCACGTGAGGCAGCGATTCCCAACAGAGAGGATAGTGAGAATGTTGGTGGCCAAGAACCAGGCTCTGCATCAAGGTGCAGAGAGAGCAGGGCAGGTAAAAGGCCAGACTGCACTCTGGAGGCCTGCATTTACACTTACTGTCCGCGGCCGGTTTGCTGGGCCCACCAGGAAAGACCCTCTCAGGGCCACCGATTCCCTCTGAGCAGGAGGGAAGTCTCGTTTTCCCTCTCCTGTGCCAGTGGGAGGGGTGAGGAGGAGAGTGAAGGGATTATCCGAGGGGAGGGGATTCTGGTCTTTATGATGGGGATGCCGACGGGAGGTGGAACACGTCTCAGATTTTACTCTTCTGCACCTCTGACGTCTTAGCTGTAAAATGTGCATGCCTGGCCCTGGCCGGCGGGTTGGGTGTAGTGGGCGTCCTGTGCACCAAAAGGTTGCTGGTTCGATTCCCTGTCAGGGCACATGCCCAGGCTGCAGGTTCATTCCCTGCATGCAAGAGGCAGTCAGTTGTTTCTCACATGGATGTTTCTCTCTCTCCCTCTCTCTCTAAAAAATCGACTAAAAAAAACTTTAGAAAAGTGTGCATGCCTGAAACTCTACCTGTGTGATAGGTGAGGCCCAATCCGGGAATATCTTTCTTACGAATGCCCTACCTATGCAGGGTGGGTCCCCTGCAGTCTCTAATACCAGAGCTGGAGGGGCCCAGAGGTGCCCAGTCATCCTTGAACTCAAACTTGATTGTTCATACATCATGGCTAAAAAATGTTAAGCAGGCACCCCTGGTGTCTATTTATTTATAAATTACATACATAGAGCTTTATAAATGATGTACATGAACTAGATACATGAACATACATTAGTATGCACATTTAAAAATACATGTACATGATCAGATACATTATGCTTATATAAATAAGTTATATATGTATATTATATTATGTACATTATAAAACGATATAAACAAAAATGACAAATGTAATAAATACAGTTTTAAAGTAATTTTTATGGCATTTCACTGAATGATGGCACAAAATCCCTTTTTGTTCTGACAATGAGAGCCATGCCATTAAATGTGCTTCTTTATTTTTGAAAATCCTGGTTGAACACTTTGTGGAAGAGCGACGTGAAGGCCTGGGGACTAAATTTGGTTTATTGCAATATTCAGTGTTAAAGGCTGTCACAGCTGAAGAGGGGGCCTCATGAAGATACCCAGCCCAGACGGATGCCACGCATTGTGGGCCTGGCTCATTAAATCATGACATTCAGTCTTTAATTTTCAATGCCATCACCCATTCTGCAAAAGTTTTGTTCAAAATTGACTTTCAAATTTCCATCTTCCCTCATGTCGATCAGTTGTCCTCACAACGAAATTGGAATATGTTGCATTTTAATGCTTTTAGCAAATGGGTTTAAAACCCACTCAAACACTTCATTTGGAAGAGTTTTATAAGCAAGTTAAAAAATTCCTTTTTGTTCCCTCTCTCTCTCTCTCTCTCTCTCTGTGTGTGTGTTTAAGGGTAGCTATAAAAGATCTTGGGAACACACAAGGTTTTTAACGACAAAATCATATAACGATGAGAACATTTTGAAACGTTACTTCCAAATCATACTATGTTCCTTCCAAAAAAGGTCCTCCCCCAACAGCTGTTTAAACGTCACCTTTACCCTGATGAAAAGAGATGTCATTTCTGGAATGACATCTGCTGTAACTCTCAACAGACAACCCTGTCTCCCCTCCCTGGAGCATCAGGTGAAATCGCGTCCTAGGATTAAGGTGAAGTGCTGCTATTTTCTTTGCAGAGATCATTTTAGGCCACTTGTCTTGTTGAAAGGCGGATTAATTTAGTGCGAATCACACTACAATCTGCAAATTCCACTGAACTGGGCCTATGTAAATGGCAGTATGTCACCATGTGTTGAAAATTGAGCAAGAGAGTGAGGAGGCTGCCCCCAAGTTCTCTGCTCCTCCCCCTAGACGTTGATTAATGTGGGGGACACAATTGGCCAAAAACACACCCAGCACCCAGGTCAGTCTGGATGTTAAATATCGGTAGAGCTGAACTTCCCTACTTTAGACAGAAATGCATGTAAATGTGTACATTGAACTTTAACATTTTCTTTCCACGTGCCAGCAGGTCCTCCTGCTGCCTGAGGGCATGGGCACTTCACTCTGGAGGTCAGATCTCACTGGACCATGGGTCAGCTGAGGCCCAGAGAGGGAGGGGGCTTAGGGCTCATTGCAAGTGGTGACAGAGCCAGACTGAAACTCAGGTCCTTGCCTTCAGGGGGTCCCCTGACCCCCACAGAGGCGTGTGGAGGCAGTGCAGGCTGGTCAGTGCGGCCCCCAGAGGGACAGGTGTTCTGCTCTCTAGGGGAAGCAGGTCCATGCCTAGGACAGGTGTGAACATGCTTCTTTCTGTTAATTTTTGTTAATCCTCACCCGCATTGATTTTTAGAGAGAGTGGGAGGGAGGAGGAGAGACACAGAGAGAGGAACATCAATGTGAGAGAGACACAGAGATTGGTTGCCTCCCACCGGCACCCTGACCAGGACTGGGGATCGAGCCTACAATCGAGGTACGTGCCCTCGACCAGAATCAAACCTTCAGTCCGAGGGCTGAAGCTCCAACCACTGAACCAAACCGGCTAGGGCGAACATGCTTCTTATTAGTGTCCTGTTCCTTTCTGGCCCCTTCCTGCCTTATGACAGGCTGTCTGGATCACTCTGCTCAGGGGTATGTCGTGTGTCCTCTCTGGACAAATTAATTTGTCTTTGGCTTGGGGCATAGTTCGCTGATTCGTACACCTCAGAGTTAAATCTGAAAAGAAAACCAGCCACCTGTGTCCCAAACCAGACAGGCTGGGGCTCAGCACTGTCACCCTCAGATGGGCCCTCACTGTCCCTGAGAGAGGGAAGGTATAGGGACACACCTAGGGACATCAGCGCCTGTGTCCTACTCCTAACCAGGAGCAGCCGTAGCCCAAGCTGCTGGGCCATCTGCCCAGGGCCTGGCCCGGAGAAGGGGGTCCCTGGCCAGCTTGGGAGAGGGGTGAGTACTGTGTGTGATCCCGAGTACCCCTAAGCTCGAGTTGAACTCGTTGGATACTCAAGGCCTCCTGCTGAGCTGCAGGTGAGTAAGAGCACACTCAGTGCTCTCACACCTTTCTGGCCCCGCCTGCGTGCACACCCTTGTTTTCATGTCTTGAGCTTAGCTCTGATGACATTGGCTGCACCTGCAGCTCTTCACACACAGCCGGCCTGGAGCCGTGTGGTCAAAGGGCGTGGCATCCATGGCCGTGCCTAAGCTGTCTTTCCCCCAGATTCAAATCTCCTTTCCTGCTGGGCACAGAGTGAGACTATATTTCCCAGCTTCCCCTGTAGTTAGATGGGGCCGCGGACTGAGTTCTGGACAGTGCAACGCGGCCAAAGAGATGTGAACCATGCCACGGCCTAGTCTGACCCTTAAAACACCCACGTTGGCTCACTCTCTTTTCCGTCCTATGGCCTGATGGGAAGGGCTCAGGGGAGATGTCAAGGCCCTGTCTGTAGTCAGTGGAAGGGGCCTGGCCTGGCCCATGGCCATTGCACCTGTGGAAGAAAGAAGTCTTTATATTCGAAGTCACCAAAATGTTGGAGAGGGCACAGCAGTGGCAGCCTGATTAACACAGTGTCTGACCCCAGATGGGGAGTCAGGGGACTTGAAATCTTTAAGATTTTGTGAGGCAACAGAGTATAGGAGTTAAAAGTTTAGACTCTGGCCCTAACCGGTGTGGCTCAGTTGGTTGGAGCATCGTCTCATGCACCAAAGTGTCCCAGGTTCGATTCCCGGTCAGGGTACATACCCAGGTTGTGGGGTTGATCCCCGGTTGGAGCGTGTATGGGAGGCAATCAATTGATGTTTCTCTCTCACATGGATGTTTCTCTCTCTCTCTCTCTCTCTCTCCCTCTACTTTCCTCTCTCTCTAGAATCAATTGAAAACATATCTTCGGGTGAGGATAAAAAAAAAAAAAGTCTAGACTCTGGAGTTGGACTCCCAGGAAATTGGCTAATGGGTTTGCCTATTCTGGATATTTGATACAAATAGAATCATACAATATGTGATTTTTGTGTGATTGGCTTCTTCCACTCAGCTTCGTGATTTCAAAGTTCACCTGTGTTCGGCATGTATCAGTACTTCATGCTTTTTCATGGCTGAATAATATTCCATCGTGTGGAGACTACATGTGCAGGGCCCTTTCTTAACTGGCTCTACGATGGTGTTGGGCTGGGAACTGGGGAAGTCAGCGGGTGGCTTTCTCTGTGCCTCTTGGGGTCTGTCACTCTAGAATATGCTGCTGGGGTCTGGGGACCCAGGGAGACCGCCAGTCTCACCACATCCCCTAGTCTTTGCCACCCGATCCTTAAACCCCCCCCCCCCCCCAGCGGCGGTGGCAGCACCACCTACAGCTGGTGCAGACCGGTCCCAGGGGGACGCTCCTGTTTCGGGGCTCCCAGCTGTCTCTGGTCAGGGTCTGGAAAAACTTGGAGCCCTTCTCTGGTGACAGTTCTGAGCTCACACAGGGTGGGGAGGTGTGGGGGAGGGGTGCATGGCCTCAGGACTTGGGATTGCTCAACCACGGAGCCTGGACGGCAGTGGGAGTCCAGCCTGGCACCAGTGACGTGGGCCCTACGCCCAGAGAGATGCTTAGGTCTTCACTTGTGGAGCCTTTTTTTCCAGAAAATTTAATTCCACATTGTTTTTCCAGAGAAATTTAATTCCACATTGTTTGTTCTCTGCCCCACAGAACCCTCGGCCGAGGAAACCACGGGAATCTCATTTGAAGAAGAATCTGGCCCCTTGGAGCCCCCTCCCCATTAGCTGGTGGGAGGGTGCCCAGATTTCAGTCGCAGCCACCGCACCAGCAAACCCCAAACCACAGGAATGCGCGGGGTCACCTGGGGACAGAGGGAGGGTGGCTGGACAGTGAGTGAGCCCATGGGCCTGCACCACGTGGGGGTCTGCTGTTCGGCCACACGAGCACTGGACTCGGAGCCCCCAGACCTCAGTGTGACTCTGGACTCTGCCACTCTGGCCTGGGATCTTGGTGGTCACATGTGTGGCTAACCACGCTCACCTGGCCACTCCGGCCCTCAGCCAGACTCAGGCCGGGAGCTGAGCTTGGCAGTGAGAGAAGCCA